GGCGGGGTCACGGGGGGATCACGGGGGGGTCACGGGGGTGCTTTGGAAGGCTCAGGGGGTGAGGGGGTACGCAGAGGCCACGAGGCGCTGCTTTTCCCAGGTGTAGGTCTGGATGGTGGCGGCTTCACCCCCCAGGCTGATGTGGCACCTGCAAGGACAGGTGAGGGTGACCGCGGCTCTGGGACCCCCAGCTGGGCACCCTAAGCCCTGGGTGGCCGCCAGGTCGCCCCCCTCGGGCAGGTGCCAGCCCCCCTCCCCTCGGTGCCCCGCACTCACTGGCGGTCGGGGCGCGCCAGGAAGCAGAGGGTGAACAGCGCCAGGTCGAACTCGGGGCTGGAGCCCACCAGGAGCGACCCCCGGGGTTTGGAGTACCCGTCCCAGCGGAACTGCAGCGACAGCACGTCCGGGAAGTCCGTCCACTGCGGAGGGGACACGGCGGGGTCACCACGGGCAGGACAGACAGGGGGACACCCCGTCCCAGCAGAAGCGCAGTGACAGCACAGCCAGGAGCGCTGTTCACTGCGGGGAACTCGAGGGGCGCACACGGGGAAGGGAATGGGGGGACCCCAGGTAAGGTCCCACAGGAGCCTGGGAACAGTCATGGGGACACAGAAGAGCCCTGGATATGGACACGGGGGGCGCGACACGCGTGGGCACAGCCCTGGGGGGGCCGGGTGTGGCCAGGGACACCGGGGTGCTGCAGGCGGAGGATGGAGAATGGTGAGAGGGTGGGGACAGCCAGTGGGACACTGGGGGTCACAAGGTTCCTGGGAAACGGGGGAATGCGATCTCGGGGGCAATGATGGGACCCTGAGGGTCATCCTAGGGGACAGAGACCTTGGCTGGGGACACTGTGGGGAATGGGGACAGGAGGGGAACCCGAGGGCTGCTGCAGTGGGTCCCCTGCTCTGTGTCCCCACCCCCCACTCAGGGGATCCCTCCCCGTGTCCCCCCCCGTGTCCCCACGTCCCCCTGTGCTCCCATGCTCATCACATCCCCATCCTCTCCTTTTCCTTTAGCGCCCCTGGTGTCCCTGTGTCCCCTCATGTCCCCCCGTGTCCCCCTGTCCCCACTCACGGGTCCATCCCAGGTGTAACCCAGGTACTGCAGTCTCCCCGCTCTCTCCAGCGCCTGCAGCTGCACCCAGTTGTGACACCCTGACACCTCCCCCTTCTTCACCTCCCCTGGGGACAGAGAGAGCAGGTGACCACAGCTCCCCCACCATGGACACCCCACCACTGACACCTCACCATGGACACCCCACCATGGACCCCCACCATGGACCCCCACCCTGGACACCCCACCATGGACACCCCACCACGGACCCTCACCATGGACCCCTGCGCCCCG